TCCTCGAGTCGGTGTCCATTAAGCTTCCAACTGTGGTAGATGCAGCTGGTGGCGGTTTGGCTGGAACGAGACTACTTCTCCGCGAAGACTGTGTAACGCTGTCAGATAAGCAATTTGGCAAGGTATCAGATGGTGATACGTTGAGAGACGATGTCGAGGGGTATGATATTGCTCTGTTAGCAGACAACTTTAGGCCAACATGGTCCTCATCGCTGCCTGCAACTGGCGGAATTGAGGCACAAGATTGTAGTTCTTGTTCCGACACAGTGCTTTGCCGAACGGAATCAGACCGCTTACACTTTCGACGGGATCGCTTGGCAGTACGAACTTCAGAATCGGATAGGTTGCAAGAAGACGAAGACGAAGAGGAAAGTAGATCGATGACCAAGCCGTTCATGCTGTTAGAAACGGCCATGTGTGACCTAGGAAAAAAGTTAGCGGTAAATTTTTCGAGTAAGGTGATCGATAATAAATCAGAGTAATATCTTTTAGAAATTTGCCAGTCCGCTCCGAAGACTGAGAAAACAAATAATGATAGTCTCAGCATCGATTGCAAATTTGCTCATATAGGGCCGAAATTGTGAGATTTTAGCGACCGAAATATATCACCTCGTTCTCATAACAAACTAGATAATCTTTAGCCAGAGAAGATTGGTAAAACTAATCAGATTAACGTATTCATACGAATAATAGCCTAGGTAGAGGAGAACCAACAGAATATCCCTAATTTTAGCCTATTCCATAGAGTGCCTTCCCTAATTGGATAATCATAAGGTCGAAAAATTTGCATGCGTCATGAATTCCTTCTGTTGCTGCCAGACGACTGAGGCTATAATCAAGTGGTACTATATACAAAGTACTGAGGTGAAAGCATAGTTATATTGCCTTTCTCAAAAATAAGTTACATGGGCTGCACATTTTAAGCGTGCATATTGACCTGATGGGAATTTTCTCTGTCAAAACTGTGTTTTATTTAGAAGTTGTTTGACCTTGTTTTCGCAACTTGGTCATAATGGTAGGAAGACTGATAGAAACG